CTCCTACTCCTACTACTACCTCCATTATGGATATCAAACGATAGGGCTCGATTGGTAAAATAGAGCTCTTTGAAACATAAAACTGAGGAATTGTTTGACCTGATACCTGCCGCATCTTTTCGCCATCGACCCTCACGACAGCATATGTATCCCCGTCATATAGATGGTTGGCAGGCCTCAACTGTGCGCTTCTCACGTAGCTTTCTACAAAATTGTGGAATGATCTGTCGTCAGCGGTATTTCCGAACCGATACGACCTTCAAACCTTCAAGAAAAGAGCGTATTCCTTTTTAAAAGGCTGGCATCGCTCCTGTGACTCCTCTGGTGTTGCTGTCCATGGGCGGCGCTGATCGCTTACCATCAGGTGATCCGTCTGCTCGTTTGATTCCTATTCCATACTTCCAACAAATGCTTATTCAGTTTAGCCGTTGTTTATTTAACTTACCTTAATATTATTTTCAGTTTTTTTTTTATCTTAACTTGTCAAGCACCGTCATTATAGACACAATTAAAGAACAATAGGTTGCGGTCACCGGTGACCGCTTGGTGTTTGACAGTTTAATATACTTTTTATAATTATTTACGTATCAATAAGCGGAAACGGACGATGGGATGACCATAGGGGTCATCTCATCGTCCGTTTCCAATACAGGTTCTCCTAGCACGGGGGTCATTAAACATAATTATATACTAAATGTCTTCATGAATTCTAGATTAGTGTCATGATATTGTGACGAGTACATACTTCTTTATCTATATCTATACTAATATTATAAAGAGGAAAGATTTGTACCTACTGTTGTATGTTTGTAATGAATGGGCTCAAAAAGTACTGGGCCGATTTAAAAAATTCTTTCACCAATAGAATGCTACATTCTTCCAATTTGACATAGGCTACATTTCATTTTGAAAAAAATTAGGGATCCTTGGTAAAATTTGAACAATGTAACCGAAGGTGTAGAAAAATGGGTCCTAAAATGTCTTTCGTCGAATGCGCTGCCGAAACTGTTAGCGCTAGAACAAAATAATGTACAACAATATTGAAGAACATCATAATGTCTACAAAATACTCCGCGGTAGCATATGTCCAACTATAGTAGTTATGTCACTACAGCAATCCAAATTTCCAAAAATAAATAATTGTCTACCCCGTGCGAAACCGGGACGGGCTGCTAGTTTTGAATAAAATTATTTATTATTTAGTTTTTATTATTTATAAAAAAAAAAACTAAAACCGTATAAATAAGATATTCACTTACCCATATCTTCTTGCGTCTACTGGACCACTGAGTAACTTCAAATCACTGCACTATTGCTTACACAATACTCACTGAATATAGGTTGAATATATCACTGATACCACTGAAATTTTTTAAGTGAAAGGATGGATAAAACAAACAATAAATAAAGGATAAACGAATAGTATGACCTCATACTAAGTAAATAAATACAATTTAGAGCAAAACAAATGGAGCCACTGGCATTTATTCATTTTATTTTACACACAAAAC